AACAGCTATATTAGCTCAAGAGGTTTTGATGAAGGGCTTTGTCAAAATCTTTTTGAAAATTAAAGTTTGCAATGTCTTGGTTGGCACCCTCTAAAAGTGTGGAAGAACTTACCATGCAGAATCCATGTTCCTTTTCAGCAATGCTCATTCTTCTACATGTTTGCTTGTTTTTCTTCTTTTCAATAGCACTTTTAACCATTTTCCATGAACTGTTGTGAAATTAACTGACTTACAGCTTTTCTTCTATCATTCCTTGATCTCTTTTCAAAATTGAGGTGAAAATAGCTATTTTCTAATTCTCACAAACAGGAGCTAATGCTAAAGATAGGTTGCGTGTTTGTTCCTATGAGAAAATCAGCAATTTCTTGGTTAATATATATTGGTTAATATATAACTTGGTTAAGAATTTTTGGGTGTACATTATTTTAACCCAGATATTTTATTTTTCTAGTTTGTTAATATGTCTTTCATGTCTCATTACTTCTATTTGTCTTCTGATCCTTTTTCAAAATCTACTTCAAGTCTAGTCATCTGATCTATATTTTTACAATAAAGATGAAAGCAAAGAATTCATTCATTTTCTCTGCTGTTTCCCTAGTTTTCTTTGGCATGCCTTTAATGGTTCCATCATGCAGGGTTGGCAGTGATAATAATCGTAATAAAAGCAGGGCTGAACTTTAAAAATGCAAGGTCAGTTCAGACCAAGAATAATTAACAAAGATTGTTAATATAGGACTTTCACAGAGGTTCTTCTGGAGAAAAGTAAACTTTCTTCCAATCCATATGTTTTAAATTATGTTCTCAAGCTGGAAACGTGTTTTTTCAGAAATATAGAATGTAAAAGATGAGAATTAGAGCACCCAACGATCCACTACTATGAAATCTAACCTTATCGGAAGAATATAGCAAGCTTTATATTTATAGAAAATTTAAATCAACTTGCTGTGTTAACTTTAACACTTTTTTTTTGTAATAGCAGGGTTCATGTTTTAATTTTAACCAGGGGGAAAAAAAAACACTTAAATCAACCCCAGCTGACCAAAATGTCTTCTTTCAGCTCTGCCATCTTCATCCGTTTCATTGTGCTTTGCTGGCATCTTGCTATAAGTGAAGGGAGAGGGCGAAGAGGAATTTGTGGAAGTGTGAGCAGGAGAAAAGAAGGATATAAGCGGGGAGGGAAATACACTGAACCAGGTGTCAAACCGGAATGATCCAGCTCCCAAGGATGCCTGACCTGGGAAAGAACATGAAACCACTTCTAAACACTCCTGACATCAAAGTGGTTCCCAAAACATTGAGCTAGGATGCCATTGGACGCTACTGATGTGGTCAAGGGGGGAGGGCCAGGGAAAAGGGAAAACTAACCTTTGCACGAGAATACTCAGATCTGGCCTTGCTTTTGTTGCAACCACTAATCCTTAGTAAAACAACCTATCGCTTCAACCAAATGGAATTGAGGGTCTTTCTTTCCTAGGGACCTAGCTGGGACAGATCTGACATTTTCTACGTTCTGGCAGTAATAAAATCAAGTTTATTAAAATATCTGCCTCAGTATTGCTCTATCACCAGAGCTTTAGAAGGTGAGGCTGCTAATTGGGTCTAATTAGCACTGCACGATGAAGATGCCAAAGAGTTACACAATTTTGAAGCTTTCATGATGGCCCTGAGACAGTTCAAGGATCTGCTGGCAGATAAGAAGGCCAAAACCAGGATCAAAACCATCAATCAAGGAAGGAGATCCGTTGCAGCCTATGTCAAAGAATTCAGAGGGCCAGCCAGCAAACTCCTGGGCTTGCTCCAAGAAATATTACCACCAGATTGATTTGTAACTGGCTGAGAACCATACTCAATGAGTAGTTCTTAATAGTGCTACATCTACATGGAGGGAAATAAACAGTGGGGTACCACAAGGTTCCATCTTAGGTCCAGTACCCTTCAATAACTTCACAAATTATTTAGATGAGGGAATAGAAGGGAAACTCATCAATAGTTTTCTCTAAGGCCCTTGCCTTAACTCCTCAGCTCTTCAACCCTTCGGTCGATTTCACAGCCCTGGGAAATCTTGGTGCTCTCCCATCCAGGTACAGGCAGTCCTTGATTTACGACCAAAATTGAACCCAAAATTTATGTTGCTGAGTGAGAAATTTGTTAAATGAGTTTTGCTCCATTTTACATCTTTTCTTGCCACATTTGTTAATTGAATCACTGGAGTTGTTAAATTAGTAACACGGTTGTTAAGTGAACGTGGTTACCTCATTGACTTTGCTTGTCAGGTCACAAAAGGTGATCACATGATCCCAACACTCTGCAACCATCATAAAAGTGAATCAGTTGTCAAGCAACCAAATCTAAATCATGTGACCACAGGGATGCTGCAATGATCATCAGTGTGAAAAACTATCGTAAGACACTTTTTTTCAGTGCCGTTGTAACTTCGGTCATTAAATGATCTGTTGTAAGTCGAGGACTGCCTGTACTTTTCAGTGAGATGGCCAGCCATGTAAATTTGATTAAATAAATAAAAAGCCTATTTTGCCTAGTTTTCTGAAATCCGCTCCGATCAATTACCTTGACTGTATGCTGTTTAAAATCAGCAACATATTGCTAGAGTCTCTTAAGATAAGCTTTGTCATTTTTTACTGTGAGCACACTGGCCCACATTAAAAATGAAAATCTGTTGCCTGTTCTCTGAACTACTCTTAAAGTAGTCCTCGTGGACACTGAAAAATGTGACTTGTGACTGTTTTTCACACTTACAACCCTTGCAGCATCCCCATGGTTGCATGATCAAACTTCAGATGGTTGGCAAGTGGTTTATATTTATAACCTTTGCAATGTTCCCAGGATCACGTGATCCGCTTTTGCGACCTTCTGACATGCAAAGTTAATGGGGAATCCAGATTCACTTAACAACCGTGTGACTAACTTAACAAATTCAATTATTCACTTAACAACTCCAGCAAGAGAGGTCGTAAAAGTGAAACATTAACAAATGTTTCACTTAGTAACATAAATTTTGGGCTCAATTGCGGTCATAACTTGAAGACTATCTGTATTCCGCAGAGGTTTGACCACAACGCTCTTTGCTCCAAACCAGCTCCAGGCAAGGATCTGAGGGTGCCACAGTTTTATTTTATTTATTTATTTATTTGTCAAGTTCGTATTAGATAATATATATAAGTATAAGCATGAATTGAATACATAAAATGAATACAAATAAAAGGAACATTAGGACAGGGACGGTAGGCATGCTGGTGCTCTTCGGCTGTGAAAATATTTAGACCCCTCACATCCTGGACATAAATTGTTTCAACTCCTACCCTCAAAATGACGGTATAGAGCACTGCACACAGAACAACTAAACAGAAGAGTTTTTCCCCCGAACGCCATCACTCTGCTAAACAAATAATTCCCTCAACACTGTCAAACTATTTACTAAGTCTGCACTAATATTAATCTTCTCATCGTTCCCACCACCCATATCCTTCCACTTATGACTGTATGACTATAACTTTGTTGCTTGTATCCTTACGATTTATATTGATATTGTTTCCTGATTGCTTATTTGTACCCTATGACTATCAAGTGTTGTATTTTATGATTCTTGATGAACGTATCTTTTTTGTACAGAGAGCATATGCACCAAGACAAATTCCTTGTGTGTCTAATCACACTTGGCCAATAAAAAATTCTATTCTGTTCTGTTCTGTTCTGTTCTGCTCTGTTCTAGTCTAGTCTAGTCTAGTCTAGTCTAGTCTATATATATTATTATATATATCTTATGCATGATTAAATCAATAACATTGATTTAATCAATAACATTAAGAGCTGTGGTGGCCCAGCGGTTAGAATGCAGTGCTGCAGGCTATTTCTGCTGACTGGCTGCATTTCGGCAGTTCGAATCTCACTAGGCTCAAACTTTGACTCAAGGTCGGTAAAACGAGGACCCAGATTGGAGGCCTGTAAAGCACTGTGAAGCGGTATATATAAGTCCAAGTGTTATTGCTATTGGGGGAAGGCCCCACTATTGCTGAGCACATTGTAAGCCGCCCTGAATCTTCGGAGAAGGGCGGCATATAAATCAAATTAAAATAAATAAATAAATAAATTTAATGAAAGCTTTCTAGTTCCCCCAGGGCAGGGGTCAGCAACCTGTGGCTCTGGAGCCGCATGTGGCTCTTTCACTCCTCTGCTGCGGCTCCGTCACTCAAAATATGCGCCACAAGCGCCAATGTGCAGCACTCGCTGGCATGCGATTTATTGTGCTTTTTAAACCCCCGGTAGGCCAACCATGGATTAAATCCAAGAAAAGAATTAAACAGAACGTTTAATTCAACTACATATGCTAATTTTTTGGCCGCTCAAGAAATAGTCAGGCACGGGAAGGGTTTTGTGGCTCCCAGTGTTTTCTATGGGAAACAGGTCCAAATGGCTCTTTGAGTGACTCCCTGCCTCAGGGAGTCGGAACATCAGCCTCTCCCATTCCCGAGCGAGAGCAAAGCGTGACATTTTAATAACCAGGAACACGGAGAAAATCCCAAAAGACTCTTTTATTGTCCCGCTCCCGCGCGTATAGCAGCAGCAGCCAAAAGCGACCCGCCGTCGTTGCCACTCGCCGCCTTCATTGGCCTTGCTTCGGTTACATGCCCGGGGGGGGGGGGGAATGCCCTTCTCGACAGGAGGCCTTCGAAACGACGGGCCTCGAAACTTGCCCTGGCCTACAGGGGAAGAAAAAGGCGGGTCTCTGTTTCCTAGGCTACAAGGAGAAAGAGCGGTGGAGAAGGGCGGGGGGGGAGAAAGAGAGAGAGAGAGAGAGAGAGAGAGAGAAAAGAAAGGAAGGAAGGAAGAAGGCGAGCGTGTCGCTCAGCTTCTCCGGCAGCGCCCATTGGTGGAGACGGCTCCGTTGCAACCACGTGACGGAACGCCCAGCTTCGATCCGATTGGTAGTTCCCTCGGTTACGGGCTATGAGGGGGCGGGAAGTTCTGCCTCCTGGCAGCGCCAGCAGCAGTAGTGCCGCCGCCGCCGCCGCGTTCGCTGTGGTCCCTTGAAGGCGGCTCCGGCCATCGGCGAGCATCGCCTGGAGCCAACGGCGGCCGAAGCGCTCCCTTTCCCCCCCTCCCCTCTTTTGATTCCCTCCCGCCCTTGGATTCCCTCGTCGTTTTAAAGCCATGGCGGCGGCGGAAGATGCTGCTGTGGCGGCGGCGGCGGCGGCGGTGGTGGCGGCGGCGGCAGCCGGGTGACGCCCGAGGCGGCGGATGAGCGGCGGCCGACCGAGTTCTGGCGTGGGAAGAGGATGCGGGAGTACAAGGTGGTGGTGCTGGGCTCGGGCGGGGTGGGCAAATCGGCGCTCACCGTGCAGTTCGTGACGGGCACTTTCATCGAGAAGTACGACCCCACCATCGAAGACTTCTACCGCAAGGAGATCGAGGTGGACGCCTCGCCGTCGGTGCTGGAGATCCTCGACACAGCCGGCACCGAGCAGTTCGCCTCCATGCGGGATCTGTACATCAAGAACGGGCAGGGCTTCATCTTAGTCTACAGCCTGGTCAACCAGCAGAGCTTCCAGGACATCCGCCCCATGAGAGACCAGATCATCCGCGTCAAGAGGTGATGGGGTGGGGGGGGGGGTGGGGTGGGTGGGGGGGGGGAAGGGATGGGATGGGAGGGACACCCCCCCTTCCCCGCCTTTAACCCAGAGAGAGAGAGAGAGAGAGACCCCTGCTTCTTTCCCTCTTATTACTCCACCCAAAATCCCGCCCCCCTCCTTCCTTTGGGATCCTGGTGGCTGGTGGTTTCCCAGAAGCCTTGCTTGCTTTGCAGAAAGCGTGGACCCATCATCCTTTCCTGCTCCTGATGGGGCTGCAACTCCCCTCTGCTTTTTCCCTGTATGAATATCACACACAGGCACACACACATACACACACAGAGAGAGAGAGAGAGCTCAGTTTCCCAGAAGCCTTGCTTGCTTTGCAGAAAGCGTGGACCCATCATCCTTTCCTCCTCCTGATGGGGCTGCAACTCCCCTCTGCTTTTTCCCTGTATGAATATCACACACAGGCACACACACATACACACACACACACAGAGAGAGAGCTCAGTTTCCCAGAAGCCTTGCTTGCTTTGCAGAAAGCGTGGACCCATCATCCTTTCCTCCTCCTGATGGGGCTGCAACTCCCCTCTGCTTTTCCCCTGTGTGAATCTCTCTCCCTCTCTCTCTCTCTCTCCCTCCCTCCCTCCCTCCCTCTCTCTCTCTCTCTCTCTCTCTCTCTCTCTCTCACACCACACACACACACACACACACACACACACACACACACACAGAGGTCAGTTTCCCAGAAGCCTTTCTTGCTTTGCAGAAAGTGTGGACCCATCATCCTTCCCTGCTCCTGATGGGGCTGCAACTCCCATCTGCTTTTCCCCTGTATGAATATCACACACAGGCACACACACACACATACTCACACACACACAGCTCCGTTTCCCAGAAGCCTTGTCTGCTTTGCAGAAAGTGTGGACCCATCATCTTTCCTTCCTCCTGATAGGGCTCAGTTTCTGTAACTCCCATCTGCTTTTCCCCGTATGAATATCACACACACACACACACACACACACACAGAGCTCAGTTTCCCAGAAGCCTTGTCTGCTTTGCAGAAAGCGTGGACCCATCATCCTTCCCTCCTCCTGATAGGGCTCAGTTTCTGTAACTCCCATCTGCTTTTTCCCCTGTATGAATATCACACACACACACACACACACACACACACACACACACACACACGCAGCTCAGTTTCCCAGAAGCCTTGTTTGCTTTGCAGAAAGTGTGGACCCATCATCGTCCTTCCCTGCTCCTGATAGGGCTTGTTTCTGCAACTCCCATCTGCTTTTCCCCTATATGAATTATACACACACACACACACACATATTTGCAGTTCAGTTGCTCTGTGGAATAGTTCCTCTTATTCCTCCATGCATCAAAATGTTCTGCCTGGGCAAATGCCTCTGTGATGTAAGCCCCATTGATTCAGCCTCGTTCTGACTCATGCCTGCTTTCATCCATCCATCTCTGCCTGCAGCTCTTCTTCTTTGAATGCTGCAGAGAGACTGGCCAATAGCCTCTTGCAGAATTCTGCACCTCGGAATCGCTATTGTCTAATCCATATCTGTCTTACCCAAATGTGCTGCCATTCACATTGAGTAAATCAATCTTGTCATTCTTTTTTATCTTATGGTTATTCATCCACGGAGCGCCTTGCATACAGCTCTCTCTGTCCTCTCTGCCCTTGTGTATATTTAATTCTTTTTCCACACACACAGAGCTTTCGGTTCCTCCTTCCATCTACTTCCGGTGCTCTGTATGGTATCTCCATCAGCCTACACAACCTCTGCAACATGCCCCTAAGAGTGCTGTGTGTGTGTGTGTGTGTGTGTGTGTGTGTGTGTGTGTGTGTATCTATGTGTTTTTATATTTTATTACATTACATTCCTCCCCACATGTTGTTTCTCACACCTCCTTCAGGTTGTTTTGATGTATGAATTTTAAACAATCTGAATTTTTCTGCTCCATAGATCTTGACATCTGTACCTCACTCTCCGTTCCTGTGTTTGTCATGTGTTCACACTGATATGTGCATACATGAATGATTTTATCTTCACATTAAACCAGTTGTTTTGGATTTCTCATTTTCTACAGCTGAATAGAATTTTAAAAGTTGTAAAAATGAATTAAGTGTCAGAACTACTGTTAATTTCAGAACAAATTATTTAATGGGGTACTGGAACCCTCAACGTATTGAACCTGAAATTATGGTCATAAATCGTGGTGGTTTAACAGGTCATTCATTACATGACTGGAGCTGATTTTATGACTTTTTTTGTGGTAGTCATTAAGTGACTGCTGTATTAAGAAAATCCATTTTACCCAATGTGTGTTTTTTGCTGGAAATTGGCAAAAAAGGAAACAATTACAGTCATATGACTGCAATTCATTGCAAACAACTTTAAATGTGAGCCAGTTGCCCAGCATCCAAAAAGCTATTACATGACTGTGTGTGGCCATGATAACTTTGAAATCGTATTATAAGTAGCTTTTGTTCAATGTAACTTTGAAGCAACCAGTGATAAGTTGAGACTATATATAATTCTGAACAAATGTCTGTCCAGTCTCTTCTTGAAAATGCCAGTAATGGAGCACCAACAAATTCTGGAGGTAATCCATGGAACGGCTTACTTCCAGAAATTGTGGATATTCCATCACTGAGTTTTTCAAGAAGAGACTAGACAGCCATTTGTTCAGAATGATATAAGGCAGTGATGGCTAACCTTTTCCGGACTGAGTGCCCAAAGTACACATGTGCGCACACAAATGTGCGTGCGCATGCCCAACCCCCCAAAATGCAATGCATGTGCAACCTCCACACATGTGCCGTGCCCCCGTGCATGCACCCTGCCCCCCACATGCGCCCCAGCGCATGCGTGGCAAAGACCCGAGCAGCAGCTGGCCGGCGGGAGGCGTGCACACATGCGTAGCAGAGCTGACCTGGGGCGACGGCTCGCGTGCCATCAGAGAGGGCGCTGCATGCCACCTCTAGCACACGTGCCATAGGTTTGCCATCACGGATATAAGGTCTGCTTGAGCAGGAGGTTGGACTAGGGGCCCTCCAAAGTTTCTTCCAACCCTATTCTATGTTCCATGTTCTGTATATAAAGGGTTTGTCTGGCAGAGTACTGTATTTCAAGTAACAGAATCTTTTCAAAATACACCAGTTTTGATTTATGCTTTCTATTGGATGTACCTGTGAGCATAATTTTGCTTTACTAATGTTTCTAGATTAATAAAGTTGTGTCAAAGCTCATCTGGAACTTGCAGCCTGAACTGTGATACTAACCAGCCTATTTTTAGAAGAGTTTTTTTTTTAAAAAAAATTAAAGTTTTATACAACATGGTCATTGGCTTTTTAAAGACTGCTTTCAAAAAACAGGAAAGGTACTTTTTAAAAGATAGTGAAAATAGTTTCCTAAAGTATAAAGTCAGAAACTAAAAGCAATAGAGAAATGGGAGACTTTTCTAATTCGTTTTAGGAGATACAGTTTATCTCAAAGGTGCTTTTTCAAAAGGAAGTGGACTGTTTTTTCCTTGAGGAAGATGTTTAGCTTCTGATCCAAGAAGCTTCATTGGTTCTGGCAGGGTGGCGGAGGTGATGGAAGGAATAGTTCTGACAGGATGGGGTGGTGGTAGAAGGATGATATTTCTTTGCAGTCATCTGGTCGTTAGTAAATTAACCAATGACGTTTCTTGGATGAGAAGCAAAATGTCTTCCTCAAAGAAAAAACAGTCCAGTTGCCTTTTGAAAAAGCACCTTTGAGACAACTCTGGCCCGGATGACTGAGAGTCTCCACAGACAAAGTTCAAGCTAGTTCATCGAAAACCCACTATATAACCTGACTTTATAACTTATACTATAAAGATAAGAACCAAGGTTAAATTCTGTATAAAAAGATAGGGAAGACCCTACATTGCATAATTTCAATTTTTATCTCTAAGGAATACGAAACTGGTAAAGTAGTCTCACTTATCTAGCCTTATGTATCTTAGAACAGGGGTCCCCAACCTGTGGGCTGCGGCCCATTACCGAGCCATGGCATATTTCTAACTGGGCCGCAGGCTGGCACGTGCATGTAGCCTGACTCACATGGGCGGATGCCAGCGTTCACAGCCCTACTCACACAAGTGATGGGTGCCGTCACTCGCAACCCGACTCCCAGAAGCAGTGGGCACCGGCACTCACAGCTTCACCCGTGCACCCACCACTCACACAAATGAAGCTTTGCGCGCACCTACCTCTCGCACAAAACCATCCTGTCTTCCCGCCTCCCTGCACCGGGCCACAAACCCGGAAAGGTTGGGGAACACTGTCCTAGAATGCTAAAGCAGAATTTTCCCCGGCTAGTATTTGAATAGGGGACCATTAGGAAATCCCAGCGCTACAAAATAGATTGCATTTTCTTAAAGAAATCCAGATGACAGAGGCAAAGTACTCCCATATTTTTGCAAAGAGAATTGCATCTATCCATTAAATGACAAGGAATTCAAATGGTTGTTCAGAAGAACATGGTGGCTATGCTGATAATTCATGTAATTGTAAAATATACAATATTATAAAATATCATTATAGACAAGGATCAGTTGAACAACTGAATAACTTTACTTGTTATACAGCAGTACCTTGGTATTCAACTGCTTTGAATCTCATCGAATTTGGTACTCAGTGCATTTTGGTGCGAACATTTTCCCGATACTCATCATTTGTCTGGTACTCAACACACAAGCTAGAACTTGTCGGTGTCAGCTTCTTTGTGACTCACTACCTTACTCCTTATGGAAAAAACTTGTTTGGTACTCATCCAGCCTCCCAGAACCAATTAACGATGAATACTGAAGTACCACTGTACTGTAAATGAAGAAAACCACAGTAAACGCTGAGGCAGTGGCATTTGTATTCTCTCTTCGGAGTTGTTACTGCATCTTATTTAAGCAAACTTTGTAACTATAACACAATATTATACTGAATTAGGGCATCCTGACATCAGTTACCATCACTGCTTGTTCT